TATACAAATGAGGCGAGAGAATAGATCCCTGTCTCACTCCTTGCGTTAGATAGAAAGGATATGATTTGCAATCTAGATAAGAAACAGAAGCACTGCTTTCATAGTATAATGACGATATGGTATTAACAATATACAGAGGGAGTTTTTTATCATTGTACAGTTTCTCAAACAGAATGTCCCAATTGCACCTGTCAAACGCTTTTTCAGCTTCTAGAGAACAGAGATAGACAGGTGAGTTGTTGTTGTTGTAGTGTTTAATTGTTTCACTAATAACAAATTCAGCGTGTAGGGTTGAGCTATTTTTAGTGAAACCGAATTGAAGAGGATGAGTTTCTTTTATTTCTGGACAGATTAGTAGGATAAGATATTCTATTAGTTTCGTAAAGATTGGAATGATGCTAATGCCGCGGTAGTTATTTGGATCAGTTAAGGATTTTTTATACGATTTAGTAAGTGGTATTATAAGTGATGTAGACATCAGTTTTGGGGTTTGTCCATGATTAATAGAAAAGTTAATAAATTTTCTGAGCCATTCTGTTAGTGCTTCACAGCTCGCATTCTTTAAATGTTCAGCTGATATTCCGAAGGCGTCTTTGGATTTGTTTAATTTAAGGCGAGAAACAACCGTTTTTATATTTTCATCCGATATTATTACCTCGTCGAATTTTGTGCAAGGCGGAATTTTTAAATTTGTAGAGGTATATGTGATTGCTTTAGAGTTTAATCGATTTTCAAAACTGTAGGCAAATTCTTTCGTGATCGAGTCTTTTTTATTATTTATGATATACAATTTCGAATTTGCATCTTTTTTTATATTTCTGAAAGTTTTCCAAAAATATTTTGGATTTGTATTTTTTAACGTTTCGATTTTTATGTATTCTTTGTACAGGTTTTTTTTTTGAGCATTTTTTTACAGCATTGCGGAAATTTTTTCGTGCCATTCGGTATCGAATAAAAATTTGCGAGTTTAAGTTTTTAACGAACCCAGTTTCCTGCCATTTTTTAAAATAAAATGAAAGAACATTTTTACTACGGCTTAATTCGGGTGTCCACCAGGATTTTGAATACAATGACGGTGTTTTCATGGATAAATATTGATTAAGTGCCTCAGATGCCGACTTTGTAATAACAGTATATACTTTGATAAGTTCCTCATCGTAATTGTCATTCGTAAAATTGTGAAAATTAAAATTATTATTTAAGCGATTGTTATATAATTGTAAAATATCATTGTTATTCCAGGCATAATTTGGAATACTGTACTTGTCTGAGTTTTTATGATTGTTTTCTTGAGAAGATTGTCCAATAAATCCAACTTCAATCGATACTGGTAAATGATCACTCATGTTTTGAGATAAAAAAGGAATTACGAAACAATTGGAATAAAGAAGAGACGTACACTTTGAGAAAGCTATGTGATCTATGTAAGATGCGTTTGGTAATGTATTATGGTGATACGTTATGTTAGGTCCAGAGCCTTTTGTTTGTTACGTCCACTAATTCAAGTTTATTCGACTTGATAAAATTTGATAAAACTACGGAGTAGTTATTTTTCGTAGAGCTAGCTCTCTTTAATGAATCATATATTCCGTGAGGAAAAGATTGAAAGTCACCAAGGACAATAAATTCAGCAACGCCCTCGTAGTTATTAATAACACCTGAAATTATATCCAACTGACTCTTGTAATCCTCCAATGATGTTTGATTATTGCGCGACGATGAAAGATAAATGCCAATAATAATAATGTTAGTCTGATTTTTTTTAAGATTTATTGCGAAGATATGATCATCTTCATATAGAATGATAATGTTTTAAAACAAATGTTTCCGAATAAAAAAAGCGTTTCTGCCAAACGGTCGACCCTGCTCATGTTTGTTAGCCTGGTGGAAAAATGAAGAGTGGGTATTTTTATAGATATTTTTTATTATGAAATATTCTAAATTCGATAACCAGTGTTCACATATAAAAGTTATGTCATGAGAGAGAATCAACGATTTGGTATACTCAAATTTAGACTTTAGACCGTGGCAGTTGAAAGTACATAGATTAAATGTTGTTGGAAGTTTATCTTCCTTAAAAATATTCCCTAAATCCATTTTGATCTATGAAAATCTTCCTGGTTTCCGTTAGTTTCCACATTTTGAGATATGTTAGTATATAAACGTTTTTTTCGGTATGGTTTAACTATTATATTGTTATCCCATAAAGCAGGGTTACATATTATATTTTTTTCTGTGTTGTTTACGGTAACTTTGTATGATCTATTGTATTCATTTTCTTAATTCAATATAACAGATAAGGGAGAGATTCCTATTTCTGTTTCTAGATAGTTTTTAAAAAGTTCTTCATTGATTTGATTGCTTATCCCTCCGACAAAAATGTCAAATTTACGAACTATTCTTTCACCTGCAATTGTTTTATTTTCAGAAATTTTTGTTCCGAACACGGGATCTGAAATTCTATGTTTTTTTACTAATGAACGATTTTGTGTTTTGTGATTAGATTTACTATTTCGGCACACTAAAGTAAAATTATTTTCATCATTGTTGGTGTTTGATGCGTGTAGTTGTTGATCGATATTGGTTTTTTTATTTATTTTCGTGGTCGACCACGAAATATTGACCGGTCAACATGGCGTCGATTTGTGGTTGATTTGTGATTGAGTGAGTTTGAGCTACTACATTTGCAAATAATTTTAATAGTTGCGGTTTGTATTCAACGTTTAAAAAAGACTTATGCGTTGTTTGAGTTAGATTTTTCGTAGCAGCTGGGTTGTTAATTTTATTTTCACATTGCGTATAACCATCGATCTTTAATTTCGGTATTTGACACGGCTGTAAGAGACTTATATCCAGTTCCGATTGTCTGTTTTCTATCTTAAGTTTTTCAATAAGTTTATTTTCGAAAATTTTTTTTTCTTTCAAAAGTATGAAGTCTTTTTTTATTTCTTTATTTTCTTTTTGAATTTCCTTTGAGATATGTAACAAGTCCTTTAAAAAATTTATTGTTGGGCAGTGTGTTTACTTTTTTGTTGAGATTACCTTAACAATTTCTTTATGGAGTTGCGTATATTATGCGTTTTATGTACGAAACAAAAATTTTTTGTTTTGCGGACATACATGGAAACATAAAAAACTTGAATGTTCTTAAGACATCTTGGTGCGTGATAATAAAAAGAATATCCGCGAACACTAAAAACCTGCCAAATTAACGAACAATCTAATTATAGAATTAGATTGTTCGTTAATTTGGCAGGTTTTTAGTGTTCAAGGTTCAAAAAATCCACTGACTAAGCGAAATAAAGTTCTAGAGTATTCTGTTGAAATGTTTGAGAAATTGTATTCACGATTTGTTACATTTTCAGATTTCTAGCATAATATGTTTTAAGAATATATTATTAATATTATGGCTTATTCTCGGAGCCACATCTGCAAAGCCATAAAACTTATAAACTATTATTATTTGTTAACAAAAATAAATGTTTTAAATATATATTATTTTAATTGTCAAAATTTTGAAAGTTTATTATAAATTATAGACTTAATTAGTATATTCTTATTTTTTATTTAAAAAGTATGTATTTTTTATGTAAATGCAATTTTGTTTATCTGTTTTTTATCATAATGCAATCTGTTAAAGCAATTTTTATGATTTAATTTGTAAACAAAGACTTACAAAAATAATTGGGTTTTCAATGAAGTTTCTAATACTGCCGCCCTAAGTAAAAACGCAGTAAACAACAAAAATGACATTCTGAGAAAAAGCCACTTTTAAATTTTGTGTGAACCTTACTTGAATATAATAATTAGACTTTCATGCCACATAGATTATGAATACAAAATACTTCCTTTATTCAATGAAAATTTATATTTAACCAAAACATCAATATATAGGCTGAAAAATCACACACTGCTAATTTACACAATATTTCACAGCCGTCATCCTAGATAAAAACGCAGTATAATCAATACAAAAATGCATGCATACTCCAATATATATTTTTTCATAAATATCAATGTGTTTTTATAAAAGGCATTGTTAATCACAATCTAGCTTGATAATCAATGGTTTCCAAACAAACCTTAATTAATAGTGGAGTTATAACATAGAGCTAGACTGCGTCTAATTAATAGGAAGAATTTTGAGTAAAGAATACTTACAACCAACAAATATGATATTTATAACAACCAGTCCAACCCAGCAACATATTTTTTCCACGAATATCAAATAATACCATTCTCTTACCATTAGTTAGGAGTGCACTAGGGGCTCAAAAACCACAATTTACCCATTATCAAATTAATAATCAGTCTTTCCATCTCTTATTTTGTCAACTTCATTCAAAGTGTGTATAAGGTAGATAAAGTAAATTAGATTTTTTAAAACGTTTTATTTGAATAAAAAAATACATATATAATTGAAAAAATATATAATATAAATGAAATTATATATTTTTTAAATTGTTCCAGAAAATTCTCCTGCTGGCTGGCATTAAACTCGATAAATTCGACAAAATATCATCGATTTTGTCTTGAGCCACCCCACGAGGCTTGTCCAACTGTGGAGGTTTTGATATTTTCTTTGTTGATGATTTCTTACAGAGGAAGTCTAATTGTTTTGTAAACTCCTCCGTATGAGAAGTTTTGTATTCCATTGTAAATTTACCTCTGCGTGTTCTCACTGCTACAATGTTCTTCAGATATATTTTTTCAGAAGATTTCTTTAACTTCTGTTGGGATTTGTTATCTTTCCACATGTATATATCTGAAATGTCATTTCTTTCACATCCACCTTCCCTTTATTAGCATTCTGTACAGCTTTGGAAAAATCAGGAAAATCGTAAACTTTTTGTTTCTTCATGGAGAGCTCCACCTGATGATGAAAACTGTCGGCACTCATATATGTATGTCCTGGCTCAAAGTATTTTAGTTGTATTTCATCCATATCTACTTCATCACTATTTACAATATATACTAAAAAAGACAGAAGGCACCAATTTTTATTTTGGCTCGAACAATTGTCGAGCCAGTGTAATCTTTTTCGAGTCCCTCTGCCTCAAAAAAAAAGCATAAAATGTACTAACAATGTCCTCCTTGTTCCTCCCAGTTACACCTTCATGCCATATACATGCCATGGGAACACCATGTGCTTTCTTCCCAAGAGGAACGAAACTCTCGTGGTAAGCCACTATCCTCTTTGTAAATATAACTTTTTTAAATGCATCCAAACGTGGCAGCATGATGACTTTCTGTAAATCTACAGAGAAAATGCTGCCATCATTGAGCTCCGCATCCTTTTTGTATAATTCTCTTGCTTCTTCATATCTTATCTTGTGATTAATATATTGTTGGCAATCATCACAATCATTATTTAAATTATCTGCATCGTGACCGTGTAAACAAAATTTTTCACAAAATTCACACTCTTCATGGCCCAAAGTTGCAAATGAAATATTTTTTTTCTTTATAGCTAACCTATAATATTCGTATGATATTTGTTGTTCTGGGTATTTGTGTGTAAAATCATTGTGCATCATGGTGATGGTCACATCACTTGGCAAATATCTTCTAATAGGAGCATGTTTCCTCCTGTAATGAGATACAGTTGGTTCAAATGATTCGATGTGCGCATCTATTAAATCGTCATGTTTATACTTCCTATCCGAAACATGTTTGCCACGTCCATCAGCTAATGGGGCTATTGCGGCAGTTGGAGTTTTGTTAAGGACCTCAAATACTGCACGGTCATTATTTGGTTTGTATCCTAGTGTTGTTAGGAAAAACTTCTTGCACACGGACTGCTTGATTGAGTCTTTATTACTGAAGAAGTATTTCCAGGTGTTTTTTCGTGCACCATCTTCAACACTTTTCCTCTTTACAGGCATGCGATCACATGTATTGAGGATAAATGTCTTCCTCTCCTTCCAGCCTAATTTTAAATATTGGGCGTTAATTTCAATACGTCGTCCCTCATTTATTTTGCTAATGCATTTTTTTTTGCAACAATCAACAATTGGCTTTAGTGCATACTTTGCTTTATATAGTTGCATCTTACGTTCTTTTCTTTCTTTGACACTTAAAGAATTACTTCTGCGAATTCGTATAGTTCCCTTTTTAGTAAATTGGACCGATGGAGATGCAGCTTCGTCCAATGGTTTATCCACAGATTCCTTTAACACTGAAACAAGATAAAATTTAATTATTACTTCGTTTAAGTACAGAACACGGTACAACCTATGTTATACATATAATTTATATGTTATATAAAATATACATAATAGATATACCAATTTCTTCTCCATTTTCCACCACATCCACTCTACTCTTTAAGACATCTTCGTCCATTGAAGGTTGAAGTGTTGTGACAGACTCATCTAAAACTGATAATTTAATGCATTGTATATCTGCATAAAAAATGTCACACAAGTTATCATATAATAAAAAAAACACGTAATATTCTTACCAATATCTCCTCTATCCTCCATAATTTCTGCCTCATACACTACGACTTCCATTTTATCAACAGTTACTTCAGATACAACTGTTCTAGAATCCTGTAAAAGAAAGGGTAAAACATAACCAAGAAGAACCATACATTAGGTATTTACACAGTTATTTGTAGATTTTTTATAGTGAAACCTTGAGAAATTTGTAGAATATTTATTATTATGATCAATAAACACAATACACATAACCTTAGATACATAAAATAGATTGAGACTACGGAAATATATAAATAAAACACTTACATCTAACAATGAAGATTTACATTTGTCTGAAGCACGATGTAGCATATATTGAGTCCTTGACATCCAAGTGTTGCAAATATCACACAACATTTTATGATTTTTATAACACTCTACGATAAATTGAATAGTCCTAAATATAATTCACTATAAAAATAATCTTTACCGAAAAAAAAGAAACACCAAATACGAAAACACGAACGAACAACCAACGCACACACTAATCAGATGACGCTTGCAGTTGCAATGACGCCGTATTCGTCATAGATAACCCACGTTTTTGTCTGTGTTGCCAAGTTAAAAAGCAGTAAAGCAATGATACTATGAAAAAATGCAGTACGTACGTTGCAAATACTGCATTTTTAATTTGTATTGCGATAATGCTGCGTTTTTACTAAGTATTACACTATATTTTTTTAACTTACGGCAAAATGAACTATGGGTTTGATGACTTCGGAATATACCACAATATTTTTATATAGAGCGTTATTACACAGAAAACGATGTTAAAACGTTTGGTGCAATAATCTCGATTTTTCAATTTTTGCGATTACTGCGTTTTTTCTTAGGACGGCAGAATAATCATTAAAGTCAGGTCAAAAAAACAAAAAGAGGTCACGGCAAAACAAAAATTTATATAGCAAGTTATTAGATATAAAGAAAAGTTTCTAGATATTGGTTTACTAATTATTTTCGCTTCAGTTGCCATTCTTAAAAACTCGTAATACCTTTTCTGCTTTAAATACTAATTAAAATTAAAAAGATCACTCACTAAACATCATCAGCGATATTGTGAAGCAGTTTCACTTCCTCGTCATAAAGTATTTTTAACCTTTTTAGTTAATTTCTATCTAGTTAATTTGATATCTATAGTAATTCAATGGAATAATTATTTCATTTGTTTATCTTGCTAAGAAGAACTGTTTCAAATATGTTAAACTTTTCAAACTACACGAAACATAAAATAGGTATTAAAAAAATTAACTTTTTTGTTTATAAAATAACTTAGCTTAGACGAAACTAAAACTTACAAACTTTGTTAAATTAAGAACACTTGTTTCCTTTCTAAACAATCGTAAGATGCTACATTATATAAAAAAACGTCGCCTAATTTTATAAAAAAATTATAAAAGGGCGATATTTCGAAAATAGTTGTTTTAAACGTAATTTATTTTGCTTCAAGTTTTTTTGCGTTAAAAGCTATTTTATTTTCCTAATTTTTTTTTTTTTTGTTAAATTTTCTTCAGCTGTAATAAATAATATAAATAAAATATGGTCATATATAACTAATATATGTTAGCAACTTTATTCAACTTTTATGTATAATATATATATATATATATATATATATATATATATATATATATATATATATATATATATATATATATATATATATATATATATATATATATATATATATATATATATACATATATATATATTTCGTCTAGACAAATATTTTTATTATTTTGTTAAAAAAAGTTTTTCATTTGTTTTTTAGATGATACTTTTGAGAGGTTAAGTTAGTTTTTTTTTGCGATTTATTGTTTTAGTATTTAGTCTTTTGCTCTCAATATTCAGTTATACATCTTTATTTTGCAACGTTTTTTGTGAAGATTTTTGTACATCCACAAAGTTTTTTTACAGTTGTTTATTTATACTCCTGATTGTTTCATGCTTTTTATTGAATCATTGTTATTTTTTGTAGTACTGTACTATTTAATATGTACTATGTTATTGTATATTTAATATATACTATATATGTATATTTAATATGTAATTTTTACATGTACCATTTAATCTTTTGTGTTATTGTACTATTTAATCTTTAATATCCTTGTCATCTGTTGTAGCTGGTTAGGTTTCTATATTATTAATTTGAGAGATAAAGTTGTTAAATGCTCAGTTCATGTAGCGCGTATAAATAGAGTTAGTAATCGATTGCATCTGGCTAAAATTAGAGCCAATATTTCCCAAAGACATCCAAGCGCCAAAAAATTGATGAAAAAGAAAAAAGTAAGAGCAAAAAAAGTTAGGGCGTTAGCTATCCAAACTGAGTTATGATGAAATTATAGATTCATACAAAAATTTGTCTAATGACCAACTTTATAATTTAGAAGATGTCATGTATAGAAGAATTGTAGGGAAAAAACTATACCATGAATGATATGATCCTAAACATCCAAGCCTGCTTTGTATAATGGCAGAGTAGAAAAGAAACTTTGTAAAAGTACAATATTGAAATTTAAGCTAAAAAAGTACTACAAATGAATTGCTGAAAAATACTACCAGTGTTGTGACTAGCTAAAGGAAATTTATTGTTGTTATCAGTCACTAAAAGCCAAGACAAAACTATATGAGATAAAAAATAAACAAACCATTATTATTTCTTTTTAATAACATTTTATTTGTTTTTTAGTTTAAAACAGCCTATTTGAAAGATTTAAAAATTATTAAAGGTTGGTTAATAAAATGAATATCAAAGCTGAAGAACATTGCATGAAAAAATTTCAGCTTGTTGCATATATTGTTTCCCGAGAGTTGACTAGATATTATTTTGTTAAATTATATAAATATATAAATTTGAAATTTATAGATTAAAAATCTGAAGTGCTGTGGCTTGTTGAAAAAAAAGAAGTACTGCTAGTGTTGTGACTTGCTAAAAAAAAGTAGCGCAAGTGTTGTGACTTGGTCAAAAAAAGTACTGCAAGTGTTGTAACTTGCTATGTATTTTTGATAGACGGCTCTTGCTTACCTTCACGTGGTGTCTATTGTTAAAAATGATTATAAAATAATTTCATTAGTGAAATTTATCATTGTAATCATTCACTAAAAGCCAAGACAAAACTTTATGAAGTAAAGCATCATTAAAATAATCAAACATTATTTAGTGTTAATAACATTTTTTTGTTTTTTAGTTTGAAACAGCCGAACTTTTCGTTAACCAAACTAATATCAAGCACTATATGAAAGATTTGAAGATTTATAAAGGTTGGTAAATATCTTGTTTTGATTACCTTTTTACCACTATTGACTGATAATAGAAGTCACTCTATATGAGAATATTTTAACAAAAAAATCTCCGATTAATCAAAAATGCTTTTTTAAAAAAAAAGTGTTTAGTCGGGGGAAAAGGGGGGATAGCCTCTCTCTTTTGGCAATGGATGCAACACTGATGTAACTTTTACCGGGTAAGATATCTTTTTTACTTCTTTATTGTTGTTCTTTAAATAACCAAACAAATATTTCATAATTAAAATTTTTTTGCGATATTAGGGTGTGTTAAAACATGGTCAACACATTTAACATGAGTTTTACACTTACCTTCAATGTTTGGTGTTTGTCCAGTATTAATTTATAGAACCTTTTTTATACAGAAAAAAACTTTATTCTGGGACTTTAAGAAACAGTAATTGTGTCATTTTAAATTTTTTATTTTTTTAGGTTGGGGGGGGGGGGGTTATTCGCCCCTCCCATACATCGATGTAAACACGACTTAAATTCGTAGTTGTACCACCACGTAAATTCTTGTAGAACATAACTTCATGTTGTATACTAATTGAATTCATTTTAGTAAAGATAAAAATATTTATGAAAACAAGTCTTATTTGATACTAGAGTGTATCAAACCATCACCACCACACCCACCTCCAACGTTAACATACGGCTCTCATAAACTCTGGTGGTTAAATATAATTTTATAACAGTGTTTTTGTATATTTAAAATACTTATGTCTTGAAAAAAGACTTTTTTGTGAAAAAAATGTTTAGTTTCATACGGGTAAGGTGGTGGTTTGGTGCCCCCCTCTGTCCATCCGATTCACCCAGTAGTTAGAGTTTAACAAAAATTTGTAGCCCACTCTTACACCTATCTTTTGACACCAAGTATTTCGATAAGAATTAATTAAAGTTATGACAATTTAAGTGAAGAAAAACATAATTTTCACCACAGTTTATTCAACAGTTCCATATATCGAAAAATCGGTACTTAAACCGTCATAACTTTTGAACCAATTGTTCGTTTTTGATAATTTAATATCAAAATAAATATATAAATATATATTTTTTAAAATATTTTTTTTAAATAAATATATATATATATATCATATATATATATATCATATATATATATATATATATATATATATATATATATATATATATATATATATATATATATATATATATATATATATATATATATATATATATATATATATATATATATACCCAGCGGGCTCGGCAACGTCCATATGACGTCGAAAGGACGTCTTTTTAGGACGTCCAGAACTAGTTCTAAATGGCAACGCCAGATGACGTCTTTTTAAGACGTAATTAGGACGTCTTTTTAGGACGGAATAAAGACGTGTTTTTAAACGTCTAAAAGGCGTGAATTTAGGACGTCCAGAACTAGTGCTAAATGGAAACGCCGAACAACGTCTTTAAATAACCAAATTTAGACGTCTAAAATACGTGTTCTAACATGGCTTTACTTAAACGTAAGGTTCAAATTTATGTTTTCACAGAACTTCTTGAGAATAAGAAAAAAAGATTAAATCATTTAAATTTTTTTATTATATAATTGTGTTAAGTTTTATAAATTACAACTTTGTAAACTTCTTCTTCCACTTGCTAATTTCCAAGAATCGAATTTTCGAACAGTTGACGTCATTCACCTTCTTTTCGATCAGATGCACTCTTTAAAATATTGCCACCAGCATTTTAAAGTTTTTTTTGCTGTAGGAATCAGGGAAACAGTCTTAATCTTAAAAAAATATTATTAAGATAAGTATGTAAAAATAAAGGGGAAATAAATAAATAACATACACACATATATATAATTATTATTTTATAAACATAACATCAAACATCTAAAAATACGAATTTCTCAACACTAAATTTATTTTTTAAAAGAATTTTTTGACTGGATTGTTGTGACCAGCGTATATAATTATGTATATCAAGTATGCAATATAATTGCGGTATTAAAAATGCTCTTTTTATAGTAAAATTATACTTACTTTGAAAGCATGCCCTTCTCAAATGCACTGCATGATGAGTCACCAACATTTAATAACTTCTATTTCTAAATTTAAAAGATAACACTAGTGTAATTGATATGGGGCAGTTTAGTGTAAGTTATATTGGGCATAGGAGCAATTTATTAGTGTTTTATTTAATTCAAAAATTTTGTGTATATTATGTATTGTTTTGGGAAAAGCAAAATGTTGAATCACAGATTTTCAAATTTTGGAGGAGCTGAATGAATTAAAGAAGTTGTTACTAATAAAAATTCATTTGGCATATTACATAAAATAAATTATATTACATTAACCATTACATATGAACTATAGCCAAAACCGTTGTTCTATTTTTTTAAAACCGAAAACAAAAATAAAAATGAAATTTAGAGTTAAATACATTTAATCAAATAAAATTTCTTTAATTTAAAACAAAATTAGATACAAAAACTACAAATACATCAATTCTAGACTCCTAAATGCATATTTAAATAAATGCAATATGAGTTTTTGAAATAAAAAACAAAAATGTAACATAATATTACC